GTGTGTGTGTGTGTGTGTGTGTGTGTGTGTGTGTGTGTGTGTGTGTGTGTGTGTCTACAGAAAGCTGATACTCTGTCTGTGACAGAACATTTTCATGGCTGTGCAGCAGCAGACAGACCTTTAATCTCAGTCTGCTCCTGTGACAGATCTGCTGCTGAGTACCAGGCTAACACAACACTAAAGTTGGTTAAAACTCCAAATAAATGCACACATTTCTGTTTGATGAAACTTCCTAACTGCATAACACTATTACACAATCCAACTSTCTGTGTCAGCTGAGCGGGATGGCGCACTTTCAGTTTCATTTTTTTTTTTATTTTGTTTAAACTGACACTGAAACTCAAAAGTCCTTCAGTTAGTCAGGGCACTGGAATTTATGTTGAACCTCGTGCAGTTTATTTCCTGCGCCTCTGGCTTTTCCCCCCTTTTTAACCCAGTACAACCTGAAATTAAAAAATACCTTTCTCGGTTAATCAACAGATCTGCTTCCTTGTTAAACAAACCAACCGAAAAACATGAAGACGGGGRAAAAAAAGCGTGCGCAGGTTTATTTGTAACTTTATCTTCTGTGTAGAAGCTCATTTTGCTTTAAAGCTACAATGTCTCTGAGGTTTCTGCTCATCCCACGAAGCAAAACAGCTACAGCTCCTTCAAGGTGAATGTTTACCTACATAATACTTTTTGCACAAACAAAATGTCTTCATTGTATGTTCTTTCTTAGGCTGCAACAAGCAAACTACCATGAAAGATTTAGTGGTCTAGTTGTTTTACACCCGATATCCTTCTTAACCAAACCTGAGTTTGAACCTGCAGCCTCAGGATTATGAAACCACTGCACCGACCACCGAGCTACAGTCATAAAAATGTTCAACATTATTTTACTTTAATTTGATAGTTGGGGTTAGAAATCTCTGTTTTTTTAATCTAAAGTTGAAAAGTTTGAGAATGACCAAATTAGATCACTAATAAGTTTTGCAATCATTATACTGGCTGTTGCTGTTCAGTTTGGTTTTGTATGTGGAGATTATTTTTATTATTATTGTTGTTGTTATTATTATTCTGATTGGGAAACTTGAGAGTTTATCTTTGTTTAATTCTATTCATTACTGTCCTGATGCATCTCAGTAATCCAGGTAGAAAAAAATCAAAAAGAAAAAATAAGTAGGTCCTCTGGATGGGTTCTTCTTTAGTGAAACATTTCATCTCTCSTCCAAGAGACTTCTTCAGTCTGATGAGTTTCAGGTGAACTCAGCCTTATAAGCCCTGCCTCCACATGATGGACAAAGAGGTTAGTCACATGCAAAAGAGGGCCACCATTAAACAGAGGTGGAGGCCTTCATGTCCAGTTGTCCTCCTCATACAATGCTGCTATTACAAGTATGACTCAGACCCCTGTGAGCAAAAGGTGTGAATCAGGGCCCCAATGATGACCAACACAAGGGGGGAAAAACAAAAACAAAGGGACGTTGAGCCCCGCCTGCATTCACTACATACACATGACACAACACCAAAGAGCCACAGCATCCAAACCAATAAGTCAGGTGATGGGGCACATGACCCTCTATGAACAATAGAGCTAATCAAGCCTATTGTTAAGCGATGGTCCTCTTTTGCATATGACTAACCTGTTTGTCCATGTGGAGGCAGTGCTTATAAGGCTGAGTTCATCTGAAACTCATCAGAGTGAAGAAGTCTCTTGGAGGAGAGACGAAACGTTTCACTAAAGAAGAACCCATCCAGAGGACCTAATTTTTTTCTTTTTGATCTATTCATTATTGATTCCTTTATGATTAAATTCTCAATGATTGTTCATTAAAAGGGAACATCTTCAAAACATGACCCTAACTCCACCATGCTTCGTGCTTCCACTCTGTTTTTGTCTGATAAGAGTATTAAGTTGGTGCTAGTCCTGGGTATTTTTCTTCAAAGTCTAAAAGGTTATGTTTTTTTTTTTCATTGGTCAAGATCAGCTTCATGTTTTGACATTTTAACTGATGACCACTTTTCCATCAGAACCATCTGGAGCTTTAGATGTGCTTTCATGAGCAAAAACTCTAATCTCTTTTGTTGAACTTTGGTGCTTTCTTGGTGCAATCTTTGACCTCTTTAATACCTCACTAATAAATAGTGCTCCTTAAAAGAAGTAGATCTTATAAACATATGTTTAGGATTTTTTTTTCTGAATGCTACATACCTCTTCAGAACCTCTTCCTAACCTGTTTGGAGAGGTTACTTTATTTTACTGTGCTGTAATTCTCACAACTGTACTGAGATTATTAAAGAAATTTATCTTACAAATGATTGGACTTAACTTCAGATATTCTCCATGATCACAGTAAAAAAATTGTTTTAAGAAAAAAGTTTGTAGGTAAATAATTAAGCACCAAAAATGGTTCTGTAGCCTCATTCGTTCTTTGCTCTCTCGAACAGAAGCCAGACGTCTGTGGAAGCATCACATGCTGCCGAGCTGCTTACAGCAACATGACATGTTTCCATGTGATGCCATTCAGCTCTGATTTCTAAGTAACCCTTTCATAATGCATCAAATCAATTATGGACCATGMTAAATAGAGTCAGCTGCTCTCTGAGACAAAAATGGCCCTTTAGACTGGACTTCTTTCATCATCACAAATCAGGGTTTTTCTCCCATTTTATCCATCATTTAATTAGTCTTTTAAATAATTAAAGAATTATGGCATTTAAGAGCTAAACATGACACCCAAATGAACAAATTCAGCCTTTAAGGCGTCACTCGCCCTTCACCAAAGCCTCATAAAATATCACTCAAACTTTCAAAACAGATGCATGTAAGGACCGTTTTAAATCTGTAGTAAAATAACCATAAACATGGACTTCAGACCTGGATCATTTTGCAGCTCCGAGCTCTAATTAGAGCTTGTGTCGGTCAACTATGAGGAATAACAAAGCAGAGCCGTTTGCCAGACTTTATCATCATGTTCGTTTTATTTTTTTAAAAGTTACTGTATTTACATCACAAATGACAAGAGAGAAGGATGAGTGAGCACAAGTTCATGATGATAATGAGGATCACGTAAAACTCCAAACTGAACTTCTAATTAACAAGAGAAATGTGTGCCAACCATGTTACACTGGACCACCCAGTGAGTGTGTGATGCTTTAACACATCTGAGTAATCTTTCTGTTGTGTAATTGAATCTAACTTTAAGTACAAACAACATAAGTCATCGTTTCTCCACTGAGGTCCTGTCAAGCTCCTCTGTCCTGCAGAATAAACTGGACTCAGTGCTTCTAAAGACAATGCCCACAGCAGCTTCCAGTCGTTCAACTTGACAAAATCCCTCAAAAAATGTCCACAAATTGAATCATTTCATCAGAAAAAGACTTGTTTGTGTCCATAAAAGATGTTTTACATGTTGGGATGTTCTCAGTCTTGTTACACATATAAAGTACATTGAAAACAATTTATATTTAAGTTTATTATGTTCAAGTCTGTCTTGTTTTTTAACTTCCTGACTTTTTCTTTTCAACAAGAGGAGACAGTGACTGATGACAACTGGGAAACACTAAAACACCAAAACAACAAGCTCAGAAAAGCTGAAAACAAAGGGCTTTCTTTTAAATGTTGGGTTGAAACACAATTTTTTTTTCTGTGAATCTGGGATTTCTCTTGATAAGAGTTTAGTACAACCCTACAAGTAACATTTTACCACTTTAAATGACCTAAATATATAGGGTTTAAACAAATATTGTCTAAAGATATGTTGTTTTTTTCTCTTTTCTAATGTCTCTTATCTTAAAGAAAACGTGATTGGTGATGCTTGCTGCAGAGGGGAGCATGGAAAAGGCCTGTTTTTATCTTTACACCGTCTCATTCTGTTTTCCCACTGAATTAATGAACAAAGTGAATTTGGAAAAGCAAAGGTGAACTGATTATTAGCTTATCAGCATGTGCGTCCACCCCTTTATTGTGTGTGTGTGTATGTGTGAGTGTGTGTGTGTGTGTGTGTGTGTGTGTGTGTGTGTGTGTGTG